ATGTTCTTGGACAAATGCAGGTGAAACGATCATGCGGATGTGAAACCCTCTCTAACTCCTTTCAGAGAATCGTTGTGCAAATTTTGAAGACAGTTCCGAGTTCACCGTCCCTAGACGCGTACAACGGTGTGCAGCTCATTGGAAATGGCTGATCTGCTGACCTTTCCTGGTGAAAGGGTAAGAGCGGCCCTGGTGGCGTGACGGACCAGGGCCGCTCTTAGCGGAAAGCGTGAGGTGTGAGTTCAACTCCCTCCTGGAATTCGATTTTTGCCCATAACTCAGCATTCTTGTGACAGCTTTACATTTTCTTTTTCGAGTTATGCTCTGAAGTGATCGTTGACTCGCTATTGATCTTTGCTACGTTGCTATATTGCTGTCTTCGACCTTATGTGTCCCGCTTCCATCGTGCTCCCCCCTCCCCCTCCTCTCTTGGGTTCGGCACAGGCGCCGAACTAACTGTGCACTCACAGTGTCTTTTAACACAAAAGCAATATTCATTACGGGCATTAAAAAGTACACAACATATGCTAGTAACAATCTTTCACCTAAACTCATCAATCTGCTGACAGTTAAGAGCCCTTCAAATTCTTATCGCAGCATATACCACATCGAAGAACTTTTGTCTTGGACTGTAGTTTCAGAGCTCGGTTCATGGGCATGCATCGCGCAGTCTTCGCTGCTATTGCGCAGATCGCTCCAGTACTGCCGAAATCACGGCCATGCTAGCTTGATGCAAAAGGCGCCGTTATATTAGGTTGTCCGGAAAGTTCTCAGCGTTTTGTGCACCTATTTTTTGTACATTCACTGCTGATTAAAAACTCATTCTGCCTTGCTTCTCAGTAGCACATCCTGTAGAGAATTTCTTGCGCTATCTGATGGTATAATTGCCGTTTCACCATTGCTTGATAAACCCCTTTTTTCAAGATTTTTTCAAGCATGTGAAAAGAGCACTTCGGACGATTTTTTCTTCGACTATAAATTGGGGCAATCCGCAATCGAAACAGCTCAACAAATTAACCAGTGTGGGGGCCCAATAGTGCTAGAGAAAGCACTGTGCGGCAATGGCTCAACAAATTTCGTTCTGGAGATTTCAGCCTTGAAGATGAACCTCATAGCGGTCGACCTAAAGCAATATCTGACGAGGATTTTAGGGGGATTTTGGAGGCTGACCCATCCCAAACAGTTCGAGAGATAGCAGAAGAGCTAGGCCTTGGCAAATCCACTGTTGCAGATGGTCTGGAACGCATTGGGAAGGTGAAAAAACTCGACAATTGGGTGCCCCACAATCGGAGTGACCGGCAGGAATCGGCACGTCTCGAGGTTCCTTCTGCATTGCTTTTGCGCAGCAGAAACGACCTGTTTTTGGACCGAATTGTCACCTGTGATGAAAAATGGGTCATGTATGATAACAGGAGACGTTCCGGACAGTGGTTGGATTTCGACGAACCACCGAGGTAATTTTCAAAGCCGAACCCTCACGAAAAAAGATTCTGGTCACGGCTTGGGGTGGTCATCGGCTGGTGTGATCCACTATAACTTTTTATCACCAGGCCAAACCATCACAGCAGAACCCTACTGTGAAGAAATCGACGAATTGTACCGAAAATTTTGTCAGATGCAGCCAACACTTATCAAAAGAAAGGGTCCGATTTCTTTTGCATGACAACGCCCGCCCACACGTTTCACAAATCACTATCCATAAATTGAACGAATTGGGGTTGAAGTTCTACCACACCCACCATATTCTCCAGACCTTTCACCAACCGACTATCACCTTTTAACATTTTCAGAACTCCCTTGCTGGAAAATACTTCATCAATCAGGACCAGGCAAAAAAGCCTTCGTGGATTTCGTGAACTCTCGACCACCCAGTTTTTTACTTTGATGGGATTTCTCGACTGCTGTCACATTGGCAAAAGTGGTGTTGATTCGAAGGGGGCTGCCTATTTTGATTAATCGATGCAGATTAAAAAAGTTCGATCGTCACAGCTGAAACACCCAAAAACACTGAGAACTTTCCGGACAACCTAATAAAAGCTGTTGCAAAGAATTAGATAAAGTCTGGAAGACTGAGGCAGTGATAGGGCGAAGTCCTGCAGGAGTTAACTCATCCACACATTATAAAAAATTCGCTTGGACGGGGTTGAACCGAATAAAAAGTCAAAAACTATTACCTGATCCGTCTCGGTGCACGCGTACATGTGCCCGTGATATTTACAGAATATCACACCGCCTACTAGGGAGTGTTGGGTGGTCTAGATGCGTGGCGTGCACCGTGGTCCAGAAGAAAATTGCACAACTGGAGCAACCGTACCACAACCAAAATCAGCCAAGCGTCCTTAAGGCGCCCGGTCGCTCGAATGATTTGACTCGACTCTATTATTTAACAGTAACGTCTGCCAAAACATACATGATTTAGCATCGGCGCGAAATGTTGCTTCACACTTTTCCACTCTGTAGGCGTCAGCGTGTCCCTAACTAGACTGATGACTCCATGTACGAAATCCGGGGTTAGTTGTCGAGACATCGTCATGTAGGCCAGCTCTGGTGTTTCACCATTCGCTCGTACCTCAAGCGCCCAATTAGTGAAGAGATTGATCGAAGAACAAAATCTATGCCAGCAGTTGTATGTTACCAGTTCAACGGCGGGGTTTACAGCGTAGACAACAACCTTCTTGATCCGATCAGATACGTTTGCGCTCCTTCGTCTCAAGATTCCTTGACAAAACCCGCATAGGCCTGCAGCTTTTGTTGAACATGAAAAGCCTATTATACCTTTGCCATAGCTTTGTAACTTTCATTAAAGGTTTTCAGTTGTTCAGGACTCAGAGCGCTCAGCAAGTAATCGTGTAGATCTAGAAATACAATAAAACGTAAACATCAAAAAAGCCAAAAAATTCTGTGTCGAGCAAACAGCTAGAGTTTGAACCTTTATCCCGTTGAGCAGTGTTTGAAATTTGTGAGTGTTTCTTTACCAGCATCTTTGGGTTAACTGTGAACTATGTTCATGAACTATTTGTTGTATTCTGAAATCACATCACGACTGCCTAGGGTTCCTTTCCTGTATAAGATACTTCCCTTATAAGATAAGCAAGTGCGTAGTAAAGGCGATTGCAAAATGAAGGGAAGGGAAGGGAAGGGAAGGGAAGGGAGGGGGGAGGAGGGGTGAGGAGGAGAGGTGAACTTGGTTGCTGTGGTAAGATCGTGACATGGCTTAGCGAAAATCTTTTGATCGTTGCTTTCTCCCGTTTCGCGAACTCATTTCATTATCTCTTATAGCCGTGCAGGATCTCAACCCCACAAGGAGTACATTTTTTGGGAGGGGGATGAGGAAATGTCGTATTTTGGAAAATGTTTTCCATCTTTGGGGGTGTCGTGGCAGAAAAAAAAAAAAAAAAAAAAAAAAAAAAAAAACAAAAAAAAAAAAAAAAAAAAAATAACCGCAGCCGCATATTAATGTAGCATCGTGATGTGTGAAATGTTAGTGTCAGTATGACTCCCTTCCCTCAAGGGAGGTGTCAGACGACCCCTCCCTCTTGAAGGAGGGTCTCGGTACGCTCCTCTTTACCAACACCTATCTACCAATTTCCCATTTTCCAGTTTTTTCACCCAAGAATTTTCCATTGAGCGGAGAGGGGAGGGGGCGGCAGGGAAGGGGTTGTAGCCAATGTGAAAGGGGAGAACTTCTTATTTTCCCCTACTTCCTACGACTTTTTCCGGAATTCACTCAAAAATTTCCCACTTTTCCCCCCAAAATTTTGCTGTCGAGGAGAGAGGGGGTATATAGCACGGAACGAAGAAAAACGGAAAAGTCTACAACCGGGGAACTTTTTCCCAACGCGGCAAATCCTTCTGGAAGCCACATAAGACCCCCCCCCTCATTCCTCAACAACGACCAAATACGACCCCTCCCCCACCTTCCAGCGGAAAAGTACGAACCCCTCATGTGTTTCACACACTGATGCTGTGCCCTGAATGTAACACGTTGTCACTCGAAGCTGCATGAAATTAACCACAGCGCTTGTGACCTATGGCGCGGTGTACGATCATGCGGAGGTTGCCATTCTTCCTCGCATGAAGCGGGTTGGTTTACGGTCCGGATCTCATCTCTCAAGGTCTACCTGAAATAAATCCCTTCAATCGCGCCTATTATTTGTTTTCCTTTGCGCTCCTCTCGTCTGAATCGAGTTCTGTGAAACAGTGGCCCCATTTCAGCTTTTCACGAAGAGAAGTGGCTCTCAATTGTCTTCTATCTGACTCAGGATTTTGCAACGAGACCATGTAGAGGAGCTCAAGCACTCACGTAACCTCCTTTTCCGAGCGCCAGTGTCCCGGCTTAAAGATGTCGGGTTCTAGTGCCGCTCAAATTTTGCGCATTTTGTGGTAGCTGCATTTTATGACAATACTCCGAAATTTATGTATAACACCGACATCAAGTCACTGCAGTTGCGGGTTACTTGTAAGAGGTTAAGGCATGAATTTTTGAGGCTTTTACAGTCATCGGTGCATCGAAACCACTATACGTTGCCCACTTACCATTTCTATCAATAGTGCGTAACAAAAGTATGTAGACACCTCTGAAGTTTAGTGTAAAAGGTAATCTTCGATTTTTGTCAGATGGGACCGTCACTATTCAATTCCTATACGGACCTCTATATGTATACTCCACTTGACAGCATCTTTTGAGCAACTTTATTTTTTTATTATTGGAAAAACTTTCTTTCTTACAAAAGTATGTGGCCAATTTCAAAAAAATAACCATGAGGGAGGTGAAGCCCCGGATCGACATCCGTCTATGTTAGTCTCCTACCCTCCAGGGGAAGACCCCTCTTTTTAGGTAATAATAGATAACTATTTATTTTTCATGTGGACACTACTCTCTTTTTATCTCCTTAGACAGATCTGATACCAGTTCACAGTACTGGCACCAAATTTGTCTAATGGTAAGGATGTGAAAAAAGTACTAAAGACAACGAGAGCACTGTAAGTGTTTTTTTTCCACGATGAATGCTGGATTTGAAGTCGCGCTACGGAAGTCATAAGAAAAGGTGCTTACTTATGGACAAAGGTCTTAACCTGGGGTCGAGATTCTTACCCATGACTGAGCATCTTTTGGTGGCATTCGGAGTTCGAATCGCGACATTCCAATTTAATTATCTCACATCGGCTCATCACGTTAAACGCGGGGTGCTGTTCAGCTATGGCACAAAAAGCAACTGAGCTGAGAGGGTAAGAGCAGCCCCCGTGGCGTAATGGATAGCGCACTCGCCCTGCAAACTTCTGTGAGATCTCAGTTATGTTTCTTACCGTTCATTATTTCTTCGGGGCGCTTATTGAGATGAATATCCAATGCTATGATGTCGATCGTCTAAAATAAATTTTATTACTATTCATCAGTGCTCCACTTTTGAAAATTATTAAACCCGTTGGCACGCCTTACCCTTTACTGCCTCAATTCCAAAATTCGGGGATTTTGATTTGTCTGGAATTTAGCACCACAGGCCCCAGCGCAAAAATACTCTAAACCACCGAATCCATGGAAAAGAAAAACATAGCAAACAGGACCTCCCCATGATGATCAAGATTTCCGCTAAGGATGACCCTTAGCAAAGAGGAGAACCATTGTCGGAGGCCTACAGAAAAGGTGCTGCTGTAACCGTGTGTCTCTCGCAGCCTAGCACACCGCTTGGCACGAAACCGTCCGGAGCCGGCGTTACGCACCGTTACACCTGTGACACAGGGCTAGGCAGCTTGTTGCCGAATTGCCGAACACCTGTGGTATTCATGTCCAGAGGTCAAACTATCCCTAAGACGAGTTGTCAGCGAAATCGCTGATTTGAGGTGTTTGGCCCCGGCGCCTAGACGTGGGTGCAAAACGGCTTCGTGAGGCACAGTCAACCAAATCTGCTTTTGCAAAGTTTCGGTAAAAGGCTGGCTACGTTTTCAGAAGACTGGGACAGTAAAGGGTTAACGGTGTCAACTTGTTTTTCTTGATACTCATACAACCCTGCTGCTGATAGAACCAACACAACTGGTGCCTGATGAGCTTTACTTCCCCTTCTCCGGGAGAGTAGGGCAATAAATGTGGGGCAATAGGACTCCTTTCGTCTCGTTAGCCATAGGAAGGAAAGCACTCCGAGCGGGCGGCTGCAGGGAGATTGCATCTTGAGCCTTGGATTCTTTCGAAGACACATACTGCGACTGCCTGTTAGGCGAAATTTCATTCTTTTACTACAAGTGGTTTGGTCTGATATGTTGAAACCGTCCCAACTTCGTGTGTCAACAGCGAGCAACGAGGAAGCTGTGATGGTCTTGAGCCCACGAACCTTCGTCACCCTTACGAGGATTAGATATGCCACAAGGGTAAATAGAAATGTCAGTTCGGAGAGCCAAGAGATGTGTAGAGACAACCTTTTGACTGTCGCTTGTTTCCGTGTTCTTTCCCCACTTTGTCTCTGGTGCCTCGCCACACCGGTAAGTAGACTGCCACTTTCGGACTTATATTTGAACCCCGAAGCCCACAAAATGCAGTTGCAGATTGTCCATTTGACTGCCACCATAGCGTGTTCATCATGCCTCTCCTTTCATTCCCCACTCATTTGCATTACTAGATTTTCAAGGCACGAACTCAGGTAAGAACGACAGAATAAGCAAGCGTGTATCGTTGGATGCTACCTGTCGGCCTGGTGATGCTTCGAGTGGCTCACTCGCACCCGTGCTCTGATCGGCTAAGCCATACTGACAGAGTGCCTATCGCGGGGGTTTAGGGACGCCCGTTACATTCGGTGTGTGTGGAGCTAGTCACATTTCCACAAAGTTAACTCCATCGTCTTCAGCTGCTGGTCGTCTCTTCCGCCCTTGCAGTCGATATGACGAGCATTGTGCTGTATACAGGGGGGGGGGGGCAAAAAAAGTCATTCCGGCCGAGTCACATATGAGCGAAGTTTTCGCAGCCCAGACAGAGGAAGTGGATATGAGTACCAGGGCGGAAGATACCCAAGATCTTCCTCTATAAGCAGGAGCCGCCATTCACCTTCATGTACACCAAAATATGAAGTCATCTCCAGTCGCGGCCTGAGTGGAGAACGCCTTTGGAATTCACGTGGCCTCCAAACAGCTGCGGAACTTCTTGAATGGAATCACCCATGGATAGCTACCTGGAGACCAGTACTCTTGATCTGCAAGACCTCAAACATCGAGCAGCTCCGGCAACGTCGCTACGGTCCAGGACATCATCTTCACCCCATTCACCAAGGCGCGGGTTGATGGTGTGGACCGGCCGTACCTGGAATGGGAAGACCGATATTTTCTTTGTAGACCCCGACTGAAGGTGAGCGCTGGCGGTTACATCAAGTAACTCGAGAAGGATATCCTCCCTACATGTGGTCGCCCGTACCTTCTTGGAGACCTTGTGCTGCTACAGGTTTGGGTGCCACCACATGGAATCGAAGGGTTTTGGAAAAACTCCCGCCTACTTCGAATGGAAGGGCGTTTCGTACCTGATGAAGATGTAATATTGAAATATGTCCCTGACCTGAACCCACTCAATTACCTAGTTCGGGCGGAGCTCAACAGGGTGGTCTACAGTGGCGGAGAAATCAACGATCTCGCTCAACTCCGGTACCCACTCACTTTCGCGCGGCCGAATCTCTCGATGGCGCTCCTCCAGAAGGCTGTGGCGGAGTATCATTATAGTATTTAATGTGCTCTTTAATATGGTAGTAAAAATGTCCGATAAAAATTTAATAAAGTGTAACTTATAGCGCCTTGAAAGTCATGGAGGCAAAATGACTTTTTTTTTTGGCCCCCCCTGTATGCTCGGCGTTACAACGACCTTGTCAACGGAACATATGACATGCAGATACCAGCCCTTCTCCACACGCACATCTACTCATTTCAGCAAAAGCGAAACTGCAGACTCACCTACGTGGATCTTGCTCGTTGCCATGCATGCCTGGTGTCGTCTCCAAACCACATCCACTCTGGCAAATAGCTAGACACACCTAATCTCAGCCAAAGAGGCGACTTAGCTCGCGTTGTTCTCTGCTACTGAATGCGCGCCTCGGTGGTTCTTGGTTTGGATGCCGGTGCTAGGATAGTCGGGCATCGTGAAAGAACACCCCTCAGTTCTGTTCTCGTACACTTTCAAGCGAAAGAAGGGCTTAGTAAAGAGTCGCAGACCCATCCACCTAGCATATGCAAAGGATCGTCCCGGAGGTGATTGTACATTATGTTTCGGTTTTGTCAAAACGTAGCTATTGTCGTAGAGTCGCCAGGCCGGAAGTATAAAAATTAGTCTTGTAGACTAACTTCAACCCTTTCAGTTGTTCTGTGAAAGACCTTTTTGCGCCATTCGGCTTATTGGGGTGAGTGCTCAATATACATGTTATATGTCTCCCTTGGTGAGATCTGTTAGCGGATAGGAATTATTATGGCTGACACAACCACTGAACGAACATCGCGCTATTGTGAAGCCTTACAAATATTCACAGACCTTAACAGGAAACAGTGGTAATGGGAATCACCAATATGTCCCCACAAATCCGAACTGCGCTGAACTTCCTAACTTACCCTCGAAATCTGTGGCTCGGTGAGGAAACTGGTGACTAGGTCGTTGACTTTCTTCACAAGAATCGATTTGGGGGTGAGTGCTGTCTGGCAGAAGACTACTCCAAGAGTTACAAGAATCCAGATGAAGTTCATGTAGTTCCTGAATATCCAAGAAATTAGGCTTAGGAACGGAAAGTGGACCATAGTTGTCTTTCAATATCTTCACCGTGACTGAGCCGGAGGTTTTACTGTTGGAATTACGAATGGTCGCAAAGGCACGTTGCTATCTTGTTCTCGTGATCTGAAAACCTTGGAGCGGTAGATCCACTAAGATCTACCATGTACCCTCGGAACTCAACGGCACATTCTATGTGGCAGGACATGGACCTTCGGAATCCATTCTGATACCCTAGGTGGTAGATCCCATCAGTGAGGGGGAAGGCATAAGAAATTGTAAGGTTTCCTGTTAACAGTTGATTTCAAGCATCACGGGCCCCAGAAGCGCTCACCTGACAGATGATAACATTCGTCATTAATGAGCTAAGATTCGCTGCGGCCAAAGGAAGAAGCATTGTGCTTGAGAGAAAAATAACACTGCATCATTCACGAAAACGCAAGACGTCTCCGGTACCGTATAAATTAGTACCGAACTTGTCACGCATTTGC